GGAACTAAATTTGGAGAAACAGTTTACACCTAAAGAGTACACCATTAGTACGTAACAGCGCTTGAAGTAAATTAATTATTTTATGAACTGCAGAAGTAGAACAGTAAGGAACGTTTTACGGAAGCTGTCGTAGTAATACAGTGTACACTCACTACCAGTAGGAGCTACAAATGTTAGTATTACTAATGCCCGGTAGTCCGCTGCATTCGAAGTCCGCGCTGTTGCCACTGCACACTGCCAACCTGCATCTTGGGCGTGTCCCCAGCCGCCCCTAACAGGAATCTGCAGCAAGAATCATCGTCATGAACAAGAGCCTCAATACCACAAGCAACGCCAGTTACGCCCACCATTGAGTCGGAGTATCGAAACTCGAAGGAATAAATAATTCAGATTGATAAATTGATGTGTTAGGCTGCTACACAGTAAGTACTAATTAACAGTTAGTGCGAAAAATGAAAATTCCCAGTACTGTAATTTCTCATGAGTCCTGCTAAACACTCTCAAGGTCTCACCCACCTTTTTAGTGCTAGTCTCAACATTCCTGCTGCTTAATTATGGATCCACATAATATTATGACGGCACTAACCAGACAGAGCAAAATTTAGAAAAACGAGGGAACGTTTTGCTACTCGTCAAATAGGAAACCGAAAATTACTGCAGACACTGGCAGACTGCCAGAAATAATTTGCTATACACTGTAGATCAGCCTAAATATGCATTCCAGTATCCAACGGCTATGTATAGGAATGGCTAGTGGTCGGCGTCAGAGCCAGTCTATCTTGCAAGCCGTCCTCTGCAACACTTGCAGTCTAGTCGTACTGTAGTCAAGCTGAACAGACAGAGCGATAGAGCACAGAGTTATCTTATAAAAGTAGCTCTGTCTGTTCAGCTTGACTACGGTCTAGTCCAAATCGCCCTGGGGCATCTGATACCCGCCTGCTCCCTGTCAACAGATCACAGGAGGGAAACAGTCGATCAGACCGGACAAACGCATGTGGTCTGAAAACTCTGAATAGCCGTGACTTGCGACTAAGAAAAACATAATAATAACATATAGAAAACGAAAGAAACGGATAGATAGCTATGTGTATATGTATGTACGTATCTCAACCTTTATTGCGTTCGGTTTGACGTTATGCGGCAAAATCTAAGAGTAATTTGCATGGCTAGTGTACTGATATCGTATAAACATATATTATTGTTTATTTGTTTATTGTACGGCAGGCAGGTAACCCATTGAAAGCTAGGATCGAATCTAGCGTGGGAATTTAAACCTGGCTAAATGACAGACAACAGTATGAATTTAGAGCAAAAGCCATTAATACAAGAGAATTACTAAGAAAACGAAGGCAGTCAGGCAATGGTAATATGCTTCAGTGCATTACGAAAAACAGCAAGCGAACTGCTACTAAGAATGTCGTTTCCGGCTTCGGTTAGCCGGTTTCTGATGTTGTTCAGTCTCCACGCCAACGTAGACTTCCCCGTCCTTGTGGCCGCGTCCGCTTCGATGAAGGTCCTGTTTCCGCTTCGAAGATTGTACGGTTTCGATTGTTGCTTTATGACGATCATTTCTGTGAGGTAACGGGGCACTAGGAATTTCTCCGGGTGCAGAATTTTGTAAAGCCATGTTGCTTCTTGGTGTTTCCATCGTTCAGACAGTGGCGTAATCCCGTATTGTTTCATCAGGCTGGTGGCAGATACTTCGGCATAGTTAGCGATAGCTCGAATAGCTTTTCTTTGCGCAACAGCCAGCGGCTCCAGCGTGGACGCAGGCGCACCGCTCCACACAGTGGAGCAACGGTCCAGGTGAGACTGGACGAATGCGTGATAAAGTCCAACGCGTTGGGGCAACGGCAGTCCGCTCTTAACACTGTTTATGAGAGCGATTCCATGGTAAGCACTTTTTTGGACCTTTTTAATTTGGTCAGTCCATTTCAAATGCTCATCAATTATCACTCCCAAGTGTTTGACTGACTTTTCCGGTTCAAGCTTATGCCCGTTCAAATCAACCGACACGATACTCTTATCACGACTGTACGCAGAAGTGACCATTTGCAGTTTCGACTTTTTTTCGTTGACAAACAAACGGTTCAAATGAAGCCACTCGCATATTATTGGGAGCACTGCAGTTATTTTGTCTGCTGCTTCCGACTTCGTGTCTGCTATCGCGTAGCAGATCGTATCATCAGCAAAACTTTCTAACTGCACATCTGGGCAATGAAATTCGATTTTTAGCAGCTCGTTTAAATAAATTATGAAAAGTAAAGGACCAAGAATCGAACCCTGTGGTACACCTGTGAAAACGCGTTCCCATTCTGACCACCGTTCTCCGATACGTACACGCTGCATTCTGCCAGTAAGGTATGAGTGCATCCATGTAAGCGCGTCTTTGCTAAACCCCAACTCACGCAGTTTCGTTAGCAATAATTCATGACACACTGAAGGAAAAGCACTTTTTAAATCGAGAAAGACACAAGCAACACAGCTTTTCTGGAGTCCACAGCCTTCTTCCATGTTTCCGTTACTTTTAAAAGCAACGTTTCACACGAATGACCGTTACGAAAACCAGACTGATTTTGGGACAAAATGTCAAAACGTTTCAAGAATTTGGCGATTTGTAACTGAGCGACTTTTTCAAATACTTTCGACAAATTACATAACAACGATATCGGCCGCAGTTGATCTGCCGATTTTGGTTGAGCGCACTTGGGCAGAGCTATCACATCCGCCTTTTAGAAAATATCTGGAAAGATATTTTTTTTTAAAGCACTGATTAATCAAGTGCGTCATGGGTTCGATCAATAAAGGAAATATTTCGTGCAAGAGTTTATGTGGGATGCCGTTAGGCCCTGCGCATTTTCTCTTGCTCAGTATGCTGGAAAAAGCTTCGGCTACGGTAACAGCAGTTACTTGCTCGAATTCAAACACCGGTGACGTAGGTTCTGTAGGAACAGGAGTAACCGCCGGCGGGTGCCGACTGCCATGTTCGCCCATTTTGGCAAACTCGCGGTTCAAATCATTGGGATCAATATCCGGTACAACGTTCGGTTTGTTTCGGTTCAACATTCGGTTCATTTCCCGCCAAATAACCGCACCATTTTTGGCATTCCGATCGAAATACTGTCTTTTAGCTTCTTTAATTTATCGAATGGCAAAAACTGTATGAATCGGATTAATTTATCATTCATGAAAAACTGTAATCACCTGACGGAAAAATTATTTGTTCCTCTACTCATACAGAACTTTTCTTCAGACCGTTTTCTTCACTTTTTTAAAACGTGTGAAAGCACTTTGTAAATACCGTGACCCTTCAGGCAAAAACGAATGCGTGCGCTTTCTCCTAATCGGTAGTAGGTTAAACCGTTAAAGAATGTGGCGCGGCGGGAACCGTGATTTGGAACTTTGGAGTTTGGCGTAACCCGAACCTGTAGTTCTCGCAGTATCTTTACGCAGGAAATAAATCACTGAGCTTGTACTCCGTATTTTTAATACAAACGCGTCCGCAATGGACATACTATGTAGTTGTCGATATTGTTATATACACAGGTGAACGTCTACAACAACGATCTGGAATGTAATGTACAGTACAGTACTGCACAAGGTGCGGTAGACTAGCGAAAAGGAAAACACTACCGCTGATGGCTCACATAAGAGAAACAAAAAGAAGCCACGGAATATTCGAATTCAGCAGTGAAGGTTAGAGTAATCGCTTGACGTTTATGCTATGGATGAAGGAAGCCATTTTGGTACACGGGCCACACTGCAGTTGCCAGAGACCAGTTCCTTTTCATCGCCAGCGGGACCAGCGGTTGTGATGGTGATGACGCCGATTGCTGCCGCCGTAGTAGCCGTTGTTGTTGAAGCCGGTGTTGTAGTTGGTGGCGAGGCTGGGCGTACCGACGATGAGGGCGTTGGGGTCCAGGACACCCAGGGTGCTGTAACTGCAGCCGGCCAGCGGGAGCGTCGAGCTCTGACCGTTGCAATAGTACGTGTAGCTCATGGCGCAATCCACAAGCATCCACACTGCAAACGTAATGCGCACAAATTATGGTACAGTAAAACCTGGTTGCTAAGTACACCTTCGGTTAAAGCAAAACCGTATGTGTTATCCAGGTGTATGTACTCGTATTACACAGAGTTATGTATATTACAATCTATGGATAATGGGACACGCCGGTTAAACGTTCCGCGTATGTAATTTCCAGGAGTATATATTTACCGGTGTATAAGACAGATTTTACTGTATTCTAAGTCTTCATATTAACAAAATCAATACAATACAATGCAATATTAAAAAATAAAAATTTAATAAGTAATGTTATCACAAACTGACATAAAGTACGGTAATTACTGTAGATTATATGGTACTGCATTCGACCTCGGTACATTAAAACAAAAAAAAAATAATAAAAAAATCGTACAATATAACAATATAAGATAATCGTACAATATATCTTATGCGATAAAATAATTGTACAAAAAATAAGAATAACCTCAATTTTAGCCACAGCAAAATAGAGATTATTATGAAATAAATATATATAATAAAATTATATATATCTAAATATGGTGAATGACAACGATGAAAAAAATTACATGTTTAAAAAATAATATAGAAATTTTATATAAATCATAAGTGTAAATAAACCGAGTGAAATTGTGCTTCACATTGTTGGGCCAGTCGCTATGGCAGCCTACGAGTAGGCAGCCAGCGACAGTCCCGCTTCCGGTGTGCTGACTCACACCGAGTCGCACTCGCTCTCGTACGCCGTATCGGCCTCGACTCTGGCTCGGCTACGCCTTACCACGCCTTCGGCTATACGTCTCGGCCAATCAGCGTTCGTTTGCTCGTGTTGGATCAGCCCAGTGCCGCAGATAGGCATTTTCCATGTTACGGCTCATTCAGCCGATCATTCCAGTTTAGTCATGATTTTGCTCACGCACAGTGCTGTACTTTATTGCTATCACACAATAAAGCCTATTTCCTCACTATCGTGAGCCTCTGTTCGCCAGCTGTCACATGGTAGCAGATCTCGGTTTTTCCTTCTGTGGAACCTTTTGAGAGACGGTGTAGACCTACATCCGTAACGGCCAACGAACAGGCAGGGGAGAACTAAAACCCAGTTCCCATCCCCACCCGAACGTTGCCAGCCAGAACGGTGTTTTCTCTCTCGTGGACGCGGGCAGAACGACCTGCGGACCCTTCTCTCTTGTGCGGACAGAACGATCCTTGCGCGGACGACCAGCGGTACGGATCTCACGGGCCATTCGGACGGAACGCTCCGGATACGGGCTCGTTACGAGAGCCTGCAGCGCGTAGGATTAATCATACGGGGTCACCTTTGCGTTAAGTCGCACCCGCAACTTTACCATCGCGGACAAGCGGATCAAGCGCGCGGGATTCACCGGATAACCCAGCAGAACGACTCGGATTAACCCGGTAAAAAGGGTCGACTGACCCTCGGTAAACCGAGTAGACCCTCGTAGACCCGATATAGCCGGGCTATTTTCATTTTTGTCGGTTGAAAAGTGGTTTTGGACGGCTAAAAGTAATTTTCACCCGGATAAACGGGCTTAAAATCATCTTTTTCCGGGTAATCTTACCTTAGCCTACCGAGCCTCTGAACCTCGGCTAAGACCCTTCGAGCCTCGGCTAACTTCTTCCTAGAATTTCAGAAAATCAGGGGATAAATTTTCCCCCGGCTGAATTAATTTTTGGTCGGCTAAAAATCGAAAAATAGAATTTTTTCCGATTTTTCCTGATTTTTCTGTAAATTTTAATTCAATTTTAAAATCCGAATGTCCTTGTGACGTCACGGTAGTCGATTTATAGTACTTTACGGCAGCCAATCAGCGTAACGGGGAGATTCCCTATGCTAAGCGCCCGTAGTGAGTCATACTTGTTTACAAATTTTTGCGCCCGGCACTAAACTTGTGACGTAGGCAGCAATTAGCAAGATCATTTTGTGTGACGTCACAGTGCTTAACGACCGTAGTATAGGACGTACGTAATAACCGTACCGTACTGTAACCTGTACTGAGTCACAAGTAGTACGAGCACACCCACCACATCACCCCCCCACCCCACCGGACCTGTGCCCCCACGGACCCTCGGAGGCTCTTCAACCCAAGGAAGTCCGACTCAACCGGAAGTCCCCAATAGGGATATTCGGTTGATCCAACGGAGGCTCGAAATCAACTTAGCGAAGGTTTGACTTGACCAAGAGGTCCCCAATAGGGATATCTGGTCAACCCGGCTGAAGCGAAAACCGCTTAAGCCTCCACCTTCAGTGGTAATCGGACATTGTTGGACGGACGTCCCCAATTAGGGACTCCGACCGACTTCCGCAGATTGCCGGAACCACCGCACCCGGACCTTCGAGGTTGGACATATCGAAGCCTTGACCCTCGAACTTCGAGGCCGGACACATCAAAGCCTCGACCCTTGACCTTCGAGGCCGGACACATCAAAGCCTCGACCCTCGACCTTCGAGGCCGGACATATCGAAGCCTCGACCCTCGACCTTCGAGGCCGGACATATCGAAGCCTCGACCCTCGAACTTCGAGGTCGGACATATTGAAGCCTCGACCCTTGACCCTCGAAGCCGGACGTACCGAGGTTGATCAATTTGAACCCGTTGACATCAGACGGTCCCCAAATAGGGATAGTCTGTACGTCTCGGCAGAGGTGCTGAAGCATCAAACCGATTACCGGACCCTCGAAGCCGGGTATACCGAAGCCTGAACCCTCGAAGCCGGACGTACCGAGGCTGAACCAGCTGAACCTGTCAACATCAGACGGTCCCCAAATAGGGATAGTCTGTACGTCCCGGCCGAGGCATCACATCTTCATTTCTCGGGTTACCAAGGCTGAGCGTCAGAATGAGCGCTCAGACCCGTAGTTACCAGACTCCACCGGAACCGATGAAGACCGGGGGTTACGACCCTCATCATGTTAGTCCTGCTGGCCGCGACGTACCATCCACGGGCCCAATTAGGCTAGTGGGGGTACAGGTAACCCCTTCACCGGGACAGAATGTCCCTCATATCGGCCTCGGGGCTTCACCTCAGTCGGACCCTCGGTACGCAACCCCGGTGGACTGTAGACCCGACCCATCAGAAGGGCGCGAACAGAACTCGCCACTTCTCCAGCAGATTGCTGGCCTCCTAGGGCAACTGCAAGCGAATTCAGCGCAGAACTTCGGCATTTTGCAACAGAACCAGACGGACACCCTGCAAGCCGTCGGTACTTTGCAGAAAAACCAGACGGAAACCCTGCAGGCTGTTGCTACACTTCAGCGGGAGCACATGGAAACCCGGCATGCCCTCGGCACCCTACAGAATGAAACCCAGCATGCCCTTGGCACCCTGCAGCGGAACCTCGGCAACTTGCAGACGGCTACCAGGCAGGACATGGAAGCCTTACATCGGCGGATCTCCAACTTGGAGCAGCAGCAGCCTGTGCTGGAGCCAGTGTCACAACAGCCTCATTACCCGGCAGTTATTGTGTCTGCACCTCAGAATGAGGTTACCGGACCCCATCCTGCGGATCCCAGCCGGGACCGACCCTCGAGGGTGCTGCTAGACCAGCAACCGAGGTACGTTCTGCCGCAGGAGACCCTAAATATGACCCAAATAGGTCTAATTGAGGGTCGCGACCAGTTACCGGACCATTACTCGGAGTCGTCTTCATCCAGCCCGACCCCAGAAGGCTTCGCCAGAGCCTGCAGCTATCTGCGACTGCAGAATCAGCTAGTTCGGGCAGATGCTGACCCTCGCTCTCCGGCTACCGGATGTGTACCGCAGAATGCGACTCAGCCGGAGCATCCGAGACCATTGGCACCGGGAGATCGACCCAACTTAGTCGACCCGCGTGGTTTACCTGATATACAGGGCAACCATCCGGCTCAATACCCGGTCCAACCTCAAGTACCATACATGGCTCAACCACAGCCGGCTCAACCCCTGCTGATTCCGGTGGCCCAACAAGGCTACCCGGTCGCTCGACATGATCCCGACGCAGAACGTGTCATGGCAGCCCTACAGCATGCCCGGGATCGTGAAGAGAGATTGCTTCGGATGATTGACCGTGGCAACCGACCCCGGTTACCGAAGTTTGACGGAGTCTGCACAAACCTGGACAGATGGGTGAAATCCATCCGACGGATTTACGGACCGGACGGCGACCTGGATGAACCGGACGTGAACTTCACGACCGCCCTGGAAACTGCCCTCTCCGGCCCGGCCCTCGAATGGTTTGAAAACCAGTCGACCTCCGAGCCTGAAGAAGGCTGGACCGTCAATGAATGGCTGGATAAATTCATCGACCGGTTTGCGGAGAGCAACAAGCAGGCCAACGCTATAGCAGAGATCAGCCAACGGACGTACCGCTTTGGGCTAGAGACACCGGAGCAGTACTACGATGCCATGATGAATATTAAGGCACGTGGTGGTCTTTCGGAAAAGCTGGCCCTCACCTACTTACGCAAGAACGTAACCGAATCAGAGTTACGCCGGGCCTTGGACATCAGGATGCCGGAAACCACGGCTGACTTCTTGGCATATATCCGGAAGTTCACCGCTGGAAAGCCGGAGTATAAGATGCCAATCGAGGACTCAATTGTCCGGAACGTGATCCTGGCCCCAAGACATGAACGAGCAGTGCACTTTGCGTCCCCAATAGGGATGCCAGCCGTGCAGCCCCGGGCCCCGTTGCCTTTTTACGGTGGCCCCGGCCAGTACCCAGGAAGTGGGTGCGCCGGCCAGAATGGAGGCTACAACGGAGGGTGCAATAGCGGAAACGGGTTCTGGCAGGATACCCATGGTCAGGGGAGAAACCTCGGCCAGAATGGTCAGAACCCCGGGCCCAATCAGCGCCAGCGGACCCTGGATGCCTACGTGGACAGACAGGAGGGCCTGTTCTGGCAATGGACATTCGAGAATGGGATTACCTGCGGCAACTGCATGTGGGGCAATCACCACAGCAATGCCTGCGTGTACGCGAACGTCGACCCGGCGTTCAACCCGAACCTGCGCTGGTACAAGGACTGGCGTCAGAGGTATGATGGCGGTGGCCCGATAGGCTCGGCAAATCCGAACCGTGCGGCCTTGGTTCCTTCGCGCCCAATAGGCGCAGGGAGACCGAGGAGAAGGGTCAACCGGAACCAGCCCCCCGAAGGAAGAGTTAATGGTGGAGGTCAGCCAGATGAAGGTGGATACTACTCCGAACATGACGGATACCAGTACCCCACCGGACGGATGCAGGAGCCAATAGCTCCGCAGCCCTCAGGGTCGGCACCTTATCCCCCCAGTAACGGTGGTGGATCAGCCCCGGTATACCTGACGGGAAACGAGTATGGTCAGTAAGAAACGGTGCCTTAGCTGACCGCTTGCCACCAACCGAGCCACCGGACAAAGACAACCCATTTGGAGGATCCACTGCAGGCGCCCATAATCGCGCCGGCGGGCCCCCGTCCGACGAGAGAACCTTCGCCGGACCTCCTAAAACTCATAAAAAAGCTGCTAAATCCGGAAAGTTGCCGAAGATTAGGGCCACCGCAGGCGCCAATAGCTGCCGCGGTCGGTCCGTGCCCGACAAGAGAATCTTGGACGGCCCGGATGGTGTCCGAACGGGAACCATCCTAAACAGAAACGACAACGTTGCCGGACCCTCGACAGCGACTCGTGCCGTTAAGCCGACTGGCGACAGTATCGCCGTCAGCCCACCACGGACACGGCCGCCGACGACTCAGGGTAAATCCGGATGTTCGGTTGAACCGAGTCAACCGACCCTGGGATCCACCACGGTAGCCCAATTAGGCTCCAGTGGGTCCCATCCTCAGCAGAAGACCCTTAAAGGACGACATGGTTCCCAAAAAGGAATAGTGTCGTCCGGTAGCAGCAATGCTGCCGGGTCGTCTGGCGCCAATAACGTCGCCAGACCAACCGGTGCCATTAACGGCGCCGTGCCCCTCGGACCCTCCGGTGCCATTAACGGCACTTCGTCTACCGGAACGTCGGGCGTCAATAACGTCGCCAGACCAATGGGTGCCAAGAACGGCGCCTTACCAACCGGACCGGACGGCGCCACTAAAGTCGCCACGGCAACCGGACCTCGAGCCTCGGAGCAAAGGTGTAACATGACCCCCCAGGATTCGAGGAGGCCTCTTGGATCCTCCACCGCACCCCCAGCGGATGGGATGCCCGTCAAAATGACGGAAGGATCCCCCGGTAAAGCTCCTGGTGGATCGTCCGCTAAAATTACGGACAAGATTGCCTCCCACGGGCCCAGGGATGGAACCTCGGCGACGGCAAGCAATGTCGCCGAATACAAGGAGGCTTACGCTCGGGCGCAAGCTGACGGAGTAGCTACCCGTTCAACTGCATCCGACACGAGTCAAGCCATACCGCCGGTCAACAGTATAGGAGAGCTGCTGCAG